CTCATGAGTTCCCTCATCGCCGCTAGGTGTCGCTCACTTGTCGCCAGGATTTCCTGTCTTGGGATTTTTGGAAGTATCTTCGCTCTGAAGCTGCTGAGTTTTGGACATCTGTACAGGTAGTGGGCTGCATTCGCTAAAGACCCACTCGTGCCGCATGCGCACCTGACTTGTTTCTTATGGAATCTTGACATGTAGCTTGGGAATCTTCGTGATTTGTCAGGAGCTGGACCAGTAGATGGTCAGTCCTGAGCCTTTTAAGAGAGATTCTTGGATAGTACTTGTGTGTTTCTCTGCCTGTTTCCTCTTCCTCCCATCTTTCCTGCCACCTCTTTAGGGTTTCCAGTAAGATCTTTGATTTTACCGATTGTTCCGACAGGGGAACTGTGATATCTATTTTGGGTCTTTGTGTGGCCCTTTTGGCTTCTTCATCCGCCCTCTCATTCCCTTTGTTCCCAACGTGGGCTTTAATCCAGTTTATTCTGAGATCTTTATTGTCCTTTATTGTGTGTATGATTTCTTTTAAGCTCATTATACTTCTTGATCTTTGTTCTCCTTTATTTAAGCTCTGAAGTGTGCTTAAGCTGTCTGTGAAGATCCTGTATGTGTTCTCTGTTCTTTGGTCGATCCAAAGGAGTGTCCTTTTGAGTGCTAAGACTTCCGCCTGGAACACTGTGGCTTCGTCGTTTAACCTGTATTGTTCTTTATAATTTCCTCATTATTTAAATATGCTACAAATGCCGCTCCTACCTTTGTTTTCCATTTTGGAGCCGTCTGTGTGTACGGTCTCTAGGTCTTTTCCCTGAAGGCGGATCTTTTTCCCATTTTATTCTTGAGATGTTTGCCGGGTGTGTGTGAAGGGCGGGAAGTCTTTCTTCGACTTCGTGTGCCCGGATCGTAAGATCCCCTAGTCTAACGTCTTCTTTAAAGTGAAACAGCCTGTAAGCTTGTTTTTCCATTTCTGCACGTAGGTCCAAGGGTAATATACCTGAGAGGACTTGTAGTGCTGACGTCGGTGTTGTTGCATACGCTTTCGTAATACTTAGGAGGGCTCCTCTTTGTATTTGGAGTAGTTTTTGCTTTTGTCGTGCCGTCCCTGTGTGCCATATCGGACATCCATAAAGGATCATCCTTTCAATTGCTCTATTGTATATGATCTTTATTAACTGCCCTTTCATGTTCCATGTTCTTGAGACTATATTGTTGAGTTTATTTATCATGATCTGCGTCCTATCTTTTATCGTGCTTAGGTGTGGAATCCATGTTGTCTTGGAATCCAGCATAAAGCCTAAGTATTTTAGGACATCTTTACGCGGGATTAGAATTCCCTTCCATTTGATTCTGGGTGGCGATCTATGAAGTTTTGTTCCTTTCGGAAATAATATTAGTTTCGTTTTTTCTATGCTGAATTGGAGTTTGTATTTTAGACTCCATTCTTCTATTTGTTGTAGCGCCCGGTGGGCGTGCTCCTCTAGTCTCAGCCTATTCCCTCCTTTTATTATTAGGATGAAATCATCCGCATATGCTTGAATTTTGACATTTTCCCCTAAGTCCAATGACAGGGCTGTATCTGCCATTACATTCCAGAGTATGGGTCCCAGGTTTGAGCCTTGAGGGGCACCCTTCTGGTAATCGTGTCTTATTTGTGTTCCGTCTCGATTGTAGGTTATTGATCTTTCATTTAAGTAGCTACTTATTAGCTCATATATGTTTTTAGGACATTTAAGTGTTTTGAGCCTGTTAAGCACTCCTGGCCACCATAGGTTGTTGAAGGCAGAGGCCACATCTAATGAGATTACACAAGTGTGCATGCCTTCCCTTCTGTTTTCTTCTATTTGCTGCATTAGCCCTTCTAGGGCATCTATTGTACTTCTTATCAGGCAGGAAAGCCGTATTGTTTTGTATTCAGCGCTTTTGTTTTTACTAGGAAATATGTTAGCCTTTTGGCCAGCAGCTTATCCAGTACTTTCGCCCATGCTGATAATAAGCATATGGGGCGATAGGCTCCTGGTGTTGTTTTGTTCTTTCCCTCCTTTTGGAATAGTACTAGGTTTCCTTCCTTCCATGTGTTTCGGAAATACCCCTTTTCTAGACACTTGTTTAGTATGGTTTAAAAGAGATCCTCATTAGCTATGATTGCTTCCTCTACTATTTCTATTGAGAGTTCATCTAACCCTGGGGCTTTACCCTTTTTCGTTGTTTTAATTAGATTTCTTATTTCTTCTTTTGTGAACGGGATATCATTTTCTGTGTTCAGGCTTATCCTGGCCCCTTGTCTTATTATCCCATGTTCTGTTGTATCTAGGCTATCCTCATCTTGGGGAAAGTGATACTGAATTATGTGTCGTAGTGTTTCTTCTATGGTATCTGTCCATTCGTCATTCGACTTTTTAAATTTACTTATTTTTAACGGTTGGTAATGGCTCCCTTTGATTATGTCAAAGTATGTCCCAAAGGGTGAGCTAATCTTCAAATCTATTCCAGTAGTTCTCCCATGACTTTTGCTTTTGCCTTATTAATGTTTCTTTTGTACTGCGCCTCTGCTCTTTTATAGCGCGCCCTTTGTATCCTGCCTTTCTTCATTATAAGTATGTGTATGTTGATATTCCCACCTGAGCTTTCTTACATTTTTACGCTCTTGTGTGAGGTGGTGTGTCCACCATGGATTTGATCTCTTCGTATCTGTTCTTGTTCTTTTGTGTTTTGGGAATAGAGCCCTTTCGTACTCTTCCTTTAATTTTCCCGAGATTGTTTTTATTGTGTCATTAATATCCTCTTCTGACTCTAACTTATACTCTGCTGTCATTACTTTATTTATCCCCTCTTTTAGTAGTAGCCAGTCTGTGTGTCCTCTCTTCATTCTCATGCCTATCGGCGTGTGATTGAAGTGTAGGTTAACCTCGAAGTTTATCGCATTGTGGTCACTTAGCGTATTTCTTTTTGCAACTTTCCAATTCTCTATGTTTAGTTCCCTTTTATATTTAACTATTGTCAGGTCGATCCACGAGTTTCCTCTTGACCCCATGAATGTTGGGGGACTATCTGCCTCGTTTATGATGCACATGTTATGTGTCGCAATGAAATCGTTTACTCTGGTACCTCTGGGGTCTGAATTCAGAGAGCCCCAAACTCTACTTTTGGCGTTGAAATCGCCACATATTATTATATTGTCGTGTTCCCTTTCTTCCATTATGTAATCTAATTCCGACATTATTTCTTCCATGTCGTCATGTGGGGGACGATATACCGATATTAGTATGAATGAGACTGTACCCTCGACTTTAATCATTACTATTTCTGGAGTTGTCTTTAATTCTAGGATTGGAATATTCTTATCCGTAGCTATGATTGCTGATTTTGCGTTTTTATCTGCATAATACGCTCTATGTTTTAGTGGGAATCCACTAACTTTGTTTTTTAATACATACGGTTCTTGTATGCATGCGAATTTGAATCTATTGTCTGTTTCTAAGTCCTGTCTTAGTTGAAGTGTTGCACTCCTTGAGTGCTGTACGTTGAGTTGCGTGATCTTAATTGATCCCATAATTGATTCTTTTTCTGAGGATTTCTAGTTCTCTTGTTTTGCATGCGCATTCATTTGCTAAGCTATTATGTTTTGTATCTAGGTTTAAATTATACTCTTCATTTGCGTTATGACAGTTGACACATCTGGTCCTTTCGGACTTGCATTCTGTTTTAATATGTCCCTGCTTTCCGCATTTTGTGCAACACTTTTCTGCATTGCATGTTCTTTTTGTGTGTCCGAGCTTTAGACAATTTATGCACTGTGTTACTTTGAGGTATTCCTTAACACTCTTTCGTGACCATTGTATATTGACTTTTTTCGTTTTCATTAATTTTTGAAATGCTATGGGGTCTATGCTTATAACCCAATTAAGTCCGTACTTTCCTTTCATGTTAAATTTAACATCTATTTCTGCTTCTTCTAATTCTACGTTTTGTTTGACTAGGTGGTCTCTTAGTCCTTCTCGCGTTATGTCTTTATCGACATTATAAATAATTATCCTGGGGTTGAGCTTAACGGGTCTTTTAGGCTCCATTACTTTTCTAAGTTTTGTATTGTCTTTTATAGCGTCCTCTAGGATTTTTAATTCCTCTTGTTTGTTTGTTTCTATTAGAACTCCTCCTCTACGGATTTTCCTAAGTTTTTTTATTCCTATCTTTAATTGATTAGGATTGATATTCTTAGTTAAGTCCTCTTTAACTTGTTCTGAGGTTAACTCACTGTCTTTAGGGTACACCAAGAGAATATGCTCTGTGCCTTGTGGTCTTTTTGACCTACTTCTCGATCTTTGTCTGATATTTTTAGCAGCTTTTGCCGCGTATGTTTCTCTGGTCTCGACTAACCCTTGAAGATAATCTTCAACGTTCTGGGTTTGCTCTATCTGTCCTTGCATGTTAGCTATCTTTAGATTTTGTGCTGTTATTATATCTAAAAGTCTTTTAAAGCACTTTACACTTTTACAGAATCTTATTTAAGTCCTCTTTGCTTAATAGACCTTCTAGGTCTTCTAAACATTCTGCGGATTGCTCCATGAATTCTTCTGTTAAGTCATTAACTTCTTTAACTTCTGTATGATCTACTGTTTATCACTATCTGTGGTACTGTCACTCACTGTTTTTCGAGCCTTCGTCGCCGGACCCTCCGTTTGCTCTTTGGAGGTTTCAGCCCGACTTTCCAGCCCGGTGTCTTTTCGTCGTGCCATCTTGCCTTGTCTTGTAATTAGGCGCAAGACGACGTGTAGGGGATATGTTCTAGCACAGGGACCACCGTATGAACCGTTATGGGCCCAACTTACACGGTGGCTGCTGTTCACAGAACCGGTACCCTGGGGTTCTCACCGGAACTGCTACTTAGCGGGTGGAGTTGCTTTAGACCCTCTTGCGAGGGAGCCCCCAGACCACGACAAGGTCCAACTCCACACGGGATGCGACCAGCAAATGACCGCTAGTTGACCACGTTTAAACTCAGATAATTCTGGATGGCACCCGATGTTCTTTCTGAGATGGATCAACTAACTCGCTCTGAATTTCACAAGGCTCTCGTGCATGCAAAAAACAAAAGACTACTGGTATAAATCGCATTCCCCCTGGGGGAAAGTAAAGGAAGTGCGCAATACAAGTTTGTGCAATTCTAGGATTTTTTTTTTTAAAGTGAAAATAGGTCCACGTGTACATGTATAAAGATAAGAGTGCGCAATGCCATTTTTGTGCAATTCGGGATTTTTGTTTTAAGTGAAACTAGGTCGACGTGTACATTGATAAAGTCAAAGGAGTGTGCATTTCGGGGATTTTTTTTAAAAATTAAAATAAGTCGATGTCCACATGGATACCGAGTTTGTGCAATTGTTTTGCTTTGTGTAGCGGCGATGTTTGGCACATAAATCGCCACTTCGAAGCCAAAATAACGAGTCAAGGAATTGCACAAAATCGGTATCCATGTACCGCCAAGTTTTGCCAAGTGATACCCTAAACTATACTTTTACCAAAAAGCATTAGTTATAGGATTTGTTTCAACTGTAGAAGAACTAATAAGAGAAAATTATTTTAATGAGACAGATGGGGTTGTTTGTTTTCTGCATAATAATTTAAATCTTAGCATTAAACAATACTTGGATTTAATAACGGTTGAAGCTGGAAATGTTGTTTTACATATGTGGTGCTCCATGGCAGAACAGTATTTAATGACATTTCTGAAATTGTTGAAAGTTCAGTTCTAGCTCTGATCCAAAATTAATTCAATAATTTTGTGTAAACTCAAGTTTTAAGTTTCTGTTTCTTAATAGCTCAACAAATTCCTCAAAATGATTTTATGACAGATGATTAATCTCATTATTATCAATCAAAAATAGTTTCTGAATCCAATATAACTTTTTAGAATCATAATTTGGTACAAAAGATATGTAGACCTGTGTTTCTAGAGTATCTGTAGTAATTTAAATATGTTACTATTTTTCCTTGAAAGACACAAGTGGAGATAATTTAATTTCTTAAAAATATCTGACAAATAACCAGCTTTGATAACCATAAGTCATTTTGAAGTAAGATCAGATTTTTGTTCAGTTAAAAATATAATTTCTTTTAATAAACTTGCCTTTATTTGACAGCCACCATATTTCAGTGTGTAATATTCAATTCTTGTATTAGGAGTTTATAACAATTAAGTCTAAAGCTTTTAGTAGTTTATAATTTTGATAGCATCCTGAAGCACATTGTTCAGTTACATTACTAATGAGTTGTAAGGTCTTCGTGGATCAGGCAGTATATAAAAGTTGCATGATCATTATCAACAGCTTTCACAAGTGATTTAAAACCAATATTCTCGACCGTTATCATTTTCACTCCATCTGTGCATATTCCAATGCAATTTTTCCTTGCTAAGTTTTGAGTTTTAATATTTTGTCAACTTTACTATGATTGTCTTCCCCTTTTGTGTGTTCTTCCAAAGGATGAGAAAATAACATTTCTTCGTCAATGTTTTGTTTATAAATGTATCTGATTTACACTGACAAATGAGTTTTTTTTTTTTTTTTTTTTTTTTTTAAGTACCAGTTGTTTCATCCAACTGAATTGTAATTTTTGGGCCATTTTCAGTGTCGTAATAGTTTTCTCCGATTGGCCATTGCTAATTTCAGAATTCTATTGGTGGCAGTGTCAAACGACACTGCCACCAATAGAATATGAATTCAGCGATTCAATGAATGTGAATTCGGTAAGGGAATGACGTGAGACAAAGTACATAGCTATTTTATGCTTGCTACATAAATATGCATTAAGCAAGCTTCTGGCGTACTTCATTATACATACATAAAAATTAACCATGTTGTATTATGTGCATATATATATATGTGTGTGTTATATATATTTTACACATACATACTTAATTCCAGTATCTGCTAATTGGTTTATATTTTAAACATAAATCAGAATGTAAGTAACATAAATTCTTTCAACTTTTTAGTATGTTCAAAGACGACAAGGAGATATTCAGTTAGAAGGTGCCAATCCATCTCAGGAAGAAGGTGATGAAGGCACAGAAGAAATTGTAGAATCTGGATTAGATTTGGTGTTAAACCAACGTCTTGTAGAAACTGGTTTTAGTAAAAATGATTACAAAACATACCTCAAGTCATATACTAAAACGTAAGTATTTATACAAATTGCAGTTCTTATGAAATTTGCAGCATTTTCTTTATTTCATAATTTAGACATTTAAGTGGTACCTAACATTCATTTTAATTAAACTAACAATTATAATATATGGTTATGATACATTCAAGTCAAAAATAAAAGAAACTGCACGCAAGACAATTGTGTTTTGAACTGAGTGATACTTTTTTCAATACAAATATAAAATATAAGAATTAAGAAACCTCGTGAACATTAATATTTTTATCTATTAAAACATTTCCATAGTTGGAAGTATATGACTATGACCATTGATTGTGAAAATAATAAGTTGGTGAGCACACACTCATGGATATATATACAGAAAGAGAGATGTGTGTGTAAGATAAAAAATATGTAACTATAAATTTTGCTTTACATTAAGCAATAGTTTCCTCTCTTTTTATTTGGGTATTTCTCCTCTATACTAAAGTAGTAATAACTTTTCCCAAAGTACATCTTTCAAAATTAATCCAATTATGTAGTCATGCCTGCAATGTGATGAAATCTCAGCCAATCAGATTAAATAAAGTTTAACTATAAATACTATGGCAATTAACTGTGCATTCCTTTTCTCTCTGCTTAACTTGTTGCTAGCAAACATGCTTTTCAATGTTAAGATGTAAATTGCGATATACAATAAACATTGGGTGCATCACATGCCCAAGAATTTTTCAGTTAGTGCAAAGAAATAAATGTAATCTTTTTGTCAGTGGTGTTAAATTCCTTTTTTGTAAGTCTGCTCATTGAGGTTTCTCCGAGTAACTATGAGGCAGATATGCATCTCATCATCAACAGCTGAATCTACGCTGCTTGTAATTAATCCAGCCTCCCAACTTATACAATTTATTTTATTTTATTTTTCCTCTTTGAAGGAAAAATAATGTAAGATTTAAAATACAGGGTATGGCAGGGAACTTCCTTATTTGAAATGTGCACCATCTAGTCACATTTATTCCGAGAAGAGTGAGGTGGTGCTCATTGAAAAGAGCTATGTCTTAACATTTTATGTCGTATAGGTGTAGTACCGATCATGCAGTGAAGGAGAAACAAGCGCTTGTTAAACATGGAGTCGTACTTTTCAAAGTACTGCATTTTCATCCATATAAATTGATAGTGGTGCAAAAACTTAATCTACATGATTTTCTTTCACAAAAAAATCCGATACTTATCTTGACAATATGCCTCGTGTTCTTTAGCGATGAGGCTTATTTTCATGTTTCCAGTTGCATGAATAAGTGCAGAACATGTGCTACTGGAGTGGCGTGAATCCCCGAGAACTTCATGAGAAGCCCCTCCATACAGAATATGTGAATGTCCAGAATAGACATCATTGGACCATTGTTTTTTGGAGAACATTTCCCTGGATGCCTTATCTCCTTACGAATAGTGGCCAGAGCACTCACCTGATTTAACCCTGTGTGATTTCTTTTTCTCGAGCTATCTAAAATCTCTAATATCCAAAGACCCTGACTCAACTGAAGAACAATATTCAAGCTGCTATCAACATACCCATTGATATGCTGGTAAAAGTGGAAAGAAAGTTCAAAATTCGACTCTATCAATGCATTGACCAGAACGGAGGCCACTTTAACAATATTTTTAAACCAAGTGTCTCTCTATAACTTGGGGAAAAAATTGAACTGTTATCGATTATACGATTTGTTTTATTCATTTTTAAAATAGTAGCTTCCCTGCCGCATCCTGTACGAAAGGAAATGACTATTTTAAATTAACAATAGACCTTCTAATTTCTGATTTTTTTCATTTAAATAAATCACCCTTTAAAAGTCCAAACTGCACCATTTGTGTCATCAGTTTTATAAGGAATGCTGTGAGCTTTTACCCAATTACCATTTTAAACCTAAATAAAGGAACCAAACCTATCATTTCAATCTTCATCAAACCTTCAGCTGCTTCATACGCACTTATTTTACTTCTTGTTCTTGCTACACAAGCATGTAATTAATTGCTTGGCAGTCTTTAATCTGTTGTCTAAAAGTGTAATTTGTTTTATATAATGCCGTGGGGTGGAGATTGTACCCATAGTGCTGTGCTGGTCAAGAAGATATTATATGTTATGAAATTAAGTCATCCAAAAATAAAATGTTTAACTCTCAAGATGGTTATGCTTTTCTTAAGTACCAGTCATCTAGGCAGCAGTTTTAAGCTATCTCTATTGCTATCCCAGGCATAACTGAAATAACTGATACCTTCTGTAGTCAGCTCTCTTTTTACACAACTGAAATATTATATATGTAGGTGTTTGATATGTTGTTGCTTATGCTCACTTGTCTGGCATAGCCAGCCCAAGCCCGCAAAATTCCTCGTGGCAAGAAGCACTAGTATACACCTGCCGTTGGCAACAGCCTTGATCAGTCACCCCCCCTCTCCCCAAGTTTTGATGGAGTACATCCGAAGGTGGTGGGTCCGAGGATTTCTCCCCCTCTCCACCAAACCACACAAAAATACTTTCAACTTGTCGCATATTTAAAATGCCACCATGCCGCACCTACACTATCCATATTCAAGTCCAGGCCCTTTGGTGCGACAATCAGCGATGCTATACTGATTGGGTGGCAGGTGTTTGATATTGCCAATATTGATAAAAAGAAGGGGCACGACTAGATGTTATAGCAGTCCCATATATGAAATTTCAACCTTCTACTGTTTTTTAGTTATGCAAGATATGTACAGATGTCACAAAAAATGTTCTTTTTAAATCCATTTTGATATCCCTTTCAAAAGAAGAGTTCATAATTCTGTCTAGATGTACAGACAACCTGCAAAAGAAAAAATTTTCCGAACAGATTTGGGATATTTCTGTTGAACTATACATGAATTTTTTCATAATTGCAATACTTCCTTTGCTTTGTACAAGAAAGTAAAAATAATGTTCATGTTCTACTTGTAACATAAGAAAGATTTAAAGAAAAGAATTAAATCTAAAGAAAATTTTAGTAACCAGTTTGATTGTAGTTGGTTTTCCATACAGTAGAAAACTAAAAGTAAGCAAATATGAAAGTATTTTGATTTCCATATTTACAAAATAAATCCTTACTAAAAGAAAAATAAATTTCATTTGGACAAAGCCGTGAATCATGTTGCGCTTTCATAATCTAAATATCCTAGAAAAATCTGTTGTGGCACTTGTGCTTTGACTGTTATAAAGTTTTTTTTAAAAAAAATAGATGCGAGTCAAAGACAGTTGACAGATTACATAAAGTAGAATAATGGAAGGGGAAAAATCCCATGATAAACAAATTGTCTCTTGCCTTAAAATGTTACTCAGTAGTTTAAAAAAAGGCATATACTGACAGAGGGAGGACATAAGTAAATCTTGCTGTATCAGAATCATTCAAAGGTTTCTTTTCTTTTTTTTTTTTAAATCTGTAAGAGTAAAGAAATGTATGTTTTTTAATGTAACCAAAAAAATTAATAATAATGCAAACAATTTCTTCAATCCTGTGACTTGTTTTGTTATCTAGATTGAATGGAGAATTTTACAGAATAGGTATAGTTTCTGAAGATCTTATATATAACAGCCAAGTATCTGCCGAGGTACCAGTCAATAATTACCTGTTATTCATCATGTTTACCTTCACAAGTCGTAGGTTGATATACCCTGTCCATCTATTTTGTAAAACTCAAAGAAAGCACCAACTATGCTTCTCTGGTAAGCGACCATGTTTTAAACTATGCAAATACACTCAACATCACCAAAAATCCAGAGTTGCCAAGTCTTCCAAATTCTGCGCGAGTCTCCTGACTTTCTTTTATTAAAATTTCTCATGATTTTTATGTAGCTTAGCTTAATACTTCATTATTTGCTCCATCCGAAAGCGCCGCTTCTTCTCTAGATGCATATAAAAAAGACCATAGTCATTTCATAACTGAGCTAGGGCATGTGTCTGTTTCTGTTTTGTGTATGAGCATTCGAAAACATAGTATTACAGTTCTCCATTTAGAATGAAGTGCTGCTGCGGATCATCTGGCATATATTCGCTGCTAAGCACAACGCAAGATTGAGTTTTTTTATTTCATTCGTCTTGCCAGTGAGGCTGCATAAGTTTCATGTGCTTCACAGAAACAGTTTAAGAAACTGCAATTTTTAGTCTTCATTATGTCTACAAGAAATATAAAATACTCATGTACTTTTCAAAAATACACAGATTTCCTCCTATTAGTTTGTCAAGGAAATGTAATATTGCAATGTGTATCGTTTGTCATTGCATTTTTTTTATTTCGCAGAGGGGAAGATGCTAAGAACAACGTCGGTTGTACTGAGAAAAAAATTAAATTTCTCTGTAGAAGCAAAGGACTAAAAGGTTATTGTTTTTGAAAATTTGTGTTCTTTAAAGAACCGTGGGAAACTAATCTTCTGACATTGTGCCGTTTTCTAACTGGAATCATTTATTATTTCACACACGAGTTATTATCCGACTATGACACATTAATGAAATTATACAATAGATAAGGTATGAATGTACATGATTGGTACAACATGATTTGATCCTGCTTAATTTCATTCATATAGACAGGTACTTGGCGATGTAGAAAAATAATCCAAAATGCGTGAGTAGATTCCTATTTTCACTGTGCTGTTCATTGTTAGGACCTCCATGCATCACATTTCTGCACCATGCTTGAGAGAATCGCAGCTGCTGGCCTCGTCGGCAAACACCATCAGAATCGAAAGGCACACTACCCTTTCTCTCTTCGTCAGGAGGAACCCTCTGCACAGTTACATAGTTCACCTTTTCTGCCCAGCGCAATCACGAACAGAAAGAAGTGCAAATTCTTATTTCCAACAGTTATTAATGTAGAATGTCTGTTCTCTGCCTGAGCACAACCTGCCATTGAATGCATCGGATCATGCTGCAGCTTTTTTAGAAAAATGTTTCCCTGCAATAAAATTGCTAAGAAATACTCTAGTCTAAGGACAAATACGGCTGCAATTGTAGAAGAAATGGGTTCAAGAAATTACTATGAAAGATACATTTTCAGTTATTGATTGCATTAAAACAGTTGTATTCAGCTTGTGTGCATGGAAGCAATGCATTTTCTGATTATTGTAAGTTTGTCTTATGAAGAACAAATATTTTTATGTTTTTGTCATCGAACCTAACAAAGCTTTTTGCTTTTTTTAAAAAGCTCCATTTTGCCATCATTCAATATACCTAACACAATTCCACTGTGCAGAATTGCATTAATTCATGTTTTGTAGTCAGTTATTAGTGATCTGGTTAAAGTGTTATTTAATGATTGGGGAACTGATTATTTTTCTATTATCAGAAGACTCAAGTAATGAAACTTTTTTTTAACATGTAAGTATATTTGCATTTAAGAAATAATAAATGAATGTTTGGGTATTAATCAGTTACTATTAAGTTAATTATTAAAAAATATTTTTTCTCTCTACATTTTTTATTTAAAAAAAATTGTCATTGAGAAAATTCTCCTGATTTTTTAATGTCATAGGTTATTAAGTATGAAAATCTAACAAGAAATTTATTGTGTTCCTGAAGACAATTACTGCAGTTTCTTCCGTTGCTAAATTCTAAAAGCCCGTGTTTTAAAATTTAAGGCATAGAATATCACTGTTGTTAATATATGCTAAAACTAGGAATACAACAAAAAGGACACATGAAAATGGTGATATTACTTGTCTGAAGATTGTTATGAGCACAGTTGCCTGAAGAACCATTATGCACATGGTTGACAGAGTTTAGCACATTCTGGAAATTTCATGACTATTGAGATGGTTGTGCTGATATGCAAGTACCCAAATTTCTTCTGTGTCAAACAGATCATCCAGGTGTATATTTTAAAATTCAGTTTAAGGTAATAGTTACCAGTATTTTTCTGTAAAAACCATTTGAATAGAACTAAAAGATCACATGAAAATGGCAGTGTGTCTTGCTAAAATTTAACTATTATGCACATTATGAAAATTTAGTGACTCTTACTAAGGGTGGTTACATTAATATATAATTTGCATCTTTTTTTTAATGTAGCTGGACTAGCAACTGCATGCTGAGTAGCTGATGTATTTATAACGAACACTCTGTTGAGATATTTATGTGTAACAAAATACAATTATTGTAGGTTGCAGGATAAATGGAAAGAAATGGGCAAAAGTGAGAGTGAAATTGCTGATGCCAAAAGTAAATTCACCGAAGCTGTTAAAAAAGTCCTTCCAAAGGTTGGGGATCTACAGTTTTTCATGGGTATGTTTTATCTACTGTAGGTACTTTAGAGTGAAATTTTTTTGTATAATGTGTAAAGTTTTAAAGTGATGTTTCATAATTTTTTTTTAATTTAAGAATAGAATATTTTCTGTGAAATAGAATCTATTTATAAATGGTGTTATTTTTAAGAAAAAATTAACAATTAAGTTTAATCAATGCCAATAGCTTCATTTTACAAATTAAAAGCAGTAATATTTTATTTATAAAATAAATCTTGTACAAAAAGGGAAGTGGCAGTATCTATTAAAATAAAAATATTAAGTCAGCATGAAAGCCTTCAGTTATAACTTTTCACATCATTTGCCAAACGGCATTGCCATTTTTCTCTTCCTTAAAAACTACTAAAATAATTTTCAGTGTATTTGATTTTCATATAATTTAAAACAGGAAAGCTGAAATCAACCCAACTCCAGGTGTACTTCATTTTACTACACATACATATCAAAGATTTGAAGCAGTTACACATCAGGCCAGTCAATCAGTGCCAATTTTTTATTATGTTTATTCAGTTCACTAAAATTAGCTTAATATGTTTGCTGCCATGTACGAAAATACTCATAGTTTGCAAACTAGATTTACTTGCCAGCTATGAGAAAACTATTGTTGGTCCCCTTGCCTAAATCACCGAATACAATTATTGCCATAGTAAATGCATGCAGTATTTATTCATTTAGCCTGCAGGAAAGGACTAAATACTGTTGGCATACTAAAATGAATTGTTTATTTCTCAGTGTGTAGATCATTTATTGCTCAACACTATAAATAAATGTTTTAGGGCACACTTTTTAATTTACCTGGGAAATCTTATGAGCAAACTGAGTAAATTCAGAGACTCGTGCAGGACTAATAGAAAATAACATATTGTGCCTGAGGAATTTTGCATGAATGTGCAGAAAGAATGAGTATTGTTTATCTATTTCTAAGTTATCTCTGTTGCCATAGGGAGCACAAAAATATTTCATATGCCACCTACAAGTATGTGTGCAAATTTAGTTACTGTGAAAAATAATCTGTTATATCTATTTTAAATAATAGAAGAACAGAAATTTTAAAAACATTAAAAGCAGGTAGGATCTTGGTGAACGAATGACCAACACAGGGTTTTATAAAACAGTCGAAATTTCCTAAAACTTACGAGGAAAAAAAAAAGTATTTTCTTGATTTTATTGCCAAAATGGCCCTGGTACTTTATACCTGTGTTTATTATGTACTTTTAATATAGTTCTTGGGTTTAATTCAAGATGCATGTATAAGGACATAACAAAAAAGGTTGTATGCACCCTTGCCAGTCAGTGTGTTATTAGATTGTATGGTTTTTCATAAATTTGCTACTTTTGATAAACCTGTACTGCCAAAATTTGTCTTAAAACCTTTCCAAATTTCCACTACTTATAAATTATTTTAATGTATTGTAAAATGTGAATATGTTAATATAACATATCAGTTAAAAATAATTTATAATGAAATATAACCTTTTATTTAAGCTTAAATAAAACCTGGCAATCCTGCAGTTGTAGCCTGTGATCATATGTGCATTCAGTTTTCAACACTAGTTGCTAGTGTCCTCCATGTTTAATATTTTGGGGATCTGTGAGAAGGCTTGTGAAAGTTTTAATTCAAATTGTAGCTGCTGTGTTAAGTGTAAATGTAAAAAAAAAAAAACAAACTTAGTGTCAGCTTACAAAATGCTTGGCTTAAAATACCCATTTTTGCAAATTCTAAAATAAATGAAAACAGACAAGACAAAATATTATTGCAAGTTATGTAGATGTGAACTAAGGAGGCATAGATTTAATTAAGTGGGATACTTTTTTTAGCATTAAGAAAATATTGCATTTGAAAACAGAATGTTCAGTGTGTTTGTTCTATGTGTTATTTCAAACATTACCTGATTTATTTTTAAATGAAAAAATTTTAGAATACTTATATATGCAGTCTAAATAAAACAAAGTTAAGATTGTAGACGAGAAAACAGAAATGTCTGTTCATAATTGAAATAACTATCTTTGTAAAAAAAAAAATATAAAACCTTATTGAATTAAAAAAAGTCAAACAGTTTTATATCTCCAGTTCTACTGGGCCAATTGACGAAATTCAATTTTCATGACGTTTTTCATATCTCGAAATCGTGACTTATAGTAGATTTATATACAGCATTGTTCTAATATGCATATTTTGACAAAAAAATCGGACATTTTCTGAAACGACATGCCAATTTTTTTCCATATTTCAATTCTACAGCTCAAATTCTGCCAAGTTTCGTAAAAATTGCACGAGTAGTCTTGAAATTTTAGGCTCCTTAATTGTTAATTTAATTTGATATAGTAGTCTTGAAATTTTAGGCTCCTTAATTGTTAATTTAATTTGATATATATTTATTAATATCTCTTTTTTATTAAAACTTAATTCCTTCTTCCAGAATTCAAAATTTAGGTTCATTCAAAATAAAATTCATCCATTTTTTACAATTTATTTTTAAATAATTTTTATAAATTTTTAGCATCATCCTAAATTAGATGTATTTCTAAGTATACCTACAAAATATTAGTTTTTATTGAAAATGTCCTAGGATATAAATGAATTTACATATTAGCACGTTTTGAAATTTGGTATATTTGTTATAAGCGTAACACCAAATGTGGTTTACGCACCTTGTTAAAATTATTTGAAATAATGAACGATGACTTTTTTCTGCTCGTTTACAATGAAAAAAAGGAAAGGAAAATAGGTTGCTATAAATTAAGTTCATCTGGTGAATTCTTGATGCAAACTGAAAAAAACGTGGCAAGATAAATATTTTAATTTCTTCATAAATTTTGCACCAAATTTTACAAAATGTCATTTCAGAAAAACGTAAGATTTTGTGTCGAAATGCCTATCTTAGAATGCTGCTGGATGTAAATCTAATATATATCTTAAGTCACGCTTCCGAGACACGAAAAACTCAATTTGAATTTCGTCAGTAGAACGGGAGATATAAAACAGTCCCCCCTTTCCCCCCTGTTAGTATACAACAGTGTTAACAATACAAACGTAAGAAAGATCCGAACAGATATAAACAATCTAACTGAAAAATAGAAACCTAAATTAACTTAGAACTAATTTAAAAAGAAAGTGATTCAGACAATGGAAATTAGCAACCTGGTTTTAATATTTCCATCAAAACTGTAATATATGTAATAAAACTAACAAGAATTGAATTACACTCTTTCTAACTTATTAGAACCCCTTGGAACTGAATTTGGGATTAAGACACAATAACACGCCGAATAAATACTGATTCAGAAGTCAAACAACAAAAATCAGTGTTAGTCCTGTGAAAATTTTGTGAATTAACGCTGATTTTTGTTGTTTGACTTCTGAATCAGTATTTGAATTTGGGATATCAAAAGTCATGAAGACCTCGCATACCACAAAAATTGTTACAAAAATTGCACACTGTCTGATGTGCTACTTTTCTATTCTTCTCTTGCTATTTTAGCTTAAAAATTTCTGGCAACATTTGCATAATGTTCAGGGTGTCCAGTAAAGAACTGATTGAAAAGAACAACAGGTATATCTGAAATCAGCATGTGTAATTGAGGTTTTCATAGCTATATAAAAGGTTTTTACACCTCTATATAAGCATGATTTACAGCTTTGGCTCTGTCTATGTAACACTCGGATTTTTAGCTCAGTGACACATCACTGTGACTTAGTCCTATCTTCTTCATTTTGGTATGCAAGTAGAAAGTAGTCAAGCCTGCTCTGCAGCAGTCTTTGTAATGAACAAAATCTTTCAGTTCTCTTTTTCAGCCATATAAACGACAATGCAGTAAATATATTTCAGATTTATGGATCTTTTTCATCAATTTATTTCCTGCAAACCATGTAATTGTACTGCTTGTAAATTAAAACTACTTTTATTACCACTAAGCTCTTCACAATATATTCAGTTTCTCTTAAAAGCTCTCTGCTAAATCCCCCCCCTTTACCTAGGCTTTAACTTTCCATACATTTTAATAATCAGTTAATTAACAAAAAAATTTTTGTTTTTCCATGTAAACAGAAGTTACACATCTTTCTACCGAAATTAAAAAGAATTGTCTTTGAAAGACATCAGTAGGTGAGAAGTATAAAAACTAAGCATTTTGTGCCAGGTCCTCAAATCGAAAATGAGATCTTCAAAATTTAAATCAGACAACTAGCTGAATTGTAGATGTTGCAGTTCAAAAAAATTAAAGTGGAAAAGGAGACATTCTTAAAGGAAAACAAAATTACTTATCCAAAATAATTAATTTTGCTAGAAGCAAACAGAATGAGATATTTAAGTTTTTTAACAACTAAAAATGAAGGTACTGCTTTAAACATTAAAATTTTGTCTCATTAATACAATGTTATTAATTGTGATGCAACTTTAAAAATGTGATTGAAATGTTAAATGTGTACTATTCTAAAACTCTTAAAATATCACCAACATCCATGAATCTAAATTTATCTTACATGCTCATTTTAAATACATTTAGGTGAAAGTTCAAATCCTGATGGCCTGGTTGCCCTCTTAGACTATCGTGAAAATTCTGAAGGCCAGGAAACCCCTATAATGATGTTTTTCAAACATGGTTTGGAAGAAGAAAAAGTTGTAAGTTGAATTTTTTATGTTTAATAAAATGCTATGATGGATTTTTCTTAATTCTTTCATATTATGTTCCTTAAATGTCATTCATTTGCTAATTCCATTTTTCTTTCTTTACAGTAAATCTTTTTAGAAGAGATTTCATCAGTTCTAATTTTTGGCTGTACATAAAGATGTTGGAAAAACCTGCGCTGTGCCTTTAATATATTCTTTAAAATTACAACTTAATGTTGTTTTTGATTAACACGTGAAAATTATACAAGATGTATGAATTGCACGCTAAATCTAAAGGACTAAAGTTTGAAACTGTTTCGAATAAATTAAAAAATACATACTGTGCGTAATTCTCATTAAATTGCCAAAAAGAAGTAAAATCAGAAAATTGCTGGAAAGAACATGTATAATCAATTTTTTTCTCTTGGAATTAAATTATCTGCTTTGCTGGAGAATACTTACAGTTGGATTTGAAGCTGAAAAAGTAATACACAAAATTTCAAATTTATAAATTCTGTGTAATAACACTTGCATATTAATATCTATAAATAGCAAAGATTGTTCATCTTTATGTAATAAATTAAAAATTACAAACTATGTGTTATTTCTATGGATACTTTATACTTTTTATATATATTAATATAATTTTTAAATTACAAGCCAAATAAAAATATTTCAACATACCAAAATGCTGTAAATTTTATTTCATTGCAGATTGAGTAAATTGGCGTACCATGAATCAATGTTCTACTTTATCAAAACTTAGATGTAAACTAGTAGAATACACTCATGTCCATAAATTAAGGATAATTCAGAGTCACGCGGAAATCGAACTCTAAAATAAATATATCACCTGTAAAATCACTATGCACATCTTCAAGAATCATATGCAAATTTCAGGAAGTAACCAGATGACACCGATGGTACGTCACAATGACGAGAGTATAAGAGAGTGATATATAAAGAATACAGGCGAAGAAGTAAAATTCTTCGCAGGCGCTTTATAAGCATTTCAGTGCAATAACCGAATAGTTATGAGACAAAGGACGCATTTGGATGATTTTTTACATGGTAGAATTATCAACCGTCTGGAATGTGGGCGTACCCAATTGGAAGTATCAGACGAACTTGGAATTGCCCAGAGTGTCATCTCCAGGCTTTGGCAACGATTCCAAGATGATGGTAATGTGAGTAAACATTACAGCACAGGTCGCACCAGAGTTACAACGCCAAATGAGGACTGGTATTTGGCAGTTACTGCCAAAAGAAACAGGCAAAGCACAGCCTCAGACCCGTCTCGTCAGCTCTCTTCAGCCACTGATACAACAATTTCAAGGCAGACCGTGTACAGACGCTTAGGGAAGATTGTCTATATGCTCACTGACCTGTCAGATGCATTCCACTTACTGCAACTCACTGTCGCCTGCGGTTAGCCTGGAGTAGAGAGCATGCATTGTGGACACCGCAACAGTGGGCATGTGTGATGTTTTCCAACGAATCCAGGTTTAGCTTGCAGTCTGATTCTCGCCGGACTTTCATATGGAGAGCTCCAGGTACCCGTTATCACCAATAAAACATCATTAAACGACACTGTTACGGTGGTGCAGGAGTGCTCGTTTGGGGTGGAATTATTCTGGTTTCCAGAACTGACCTGCATGTTCAAATTGGAACCATGACAAGCCAAATCTATCGGGACGTAATTCTGGAACAACATGTACTTTTGTTTCGGGGCGCACAATTTGTGTTTATGGATGACAATGCCCGTCCTCACCGTGCAAACATCGTAAGTGAATGCCTTCAATCGGAGGATATCACCCGTATGGACTAGTCAGCATTCTCATCGCTCTTGAATCCAGTAGAGTGTGTGTGGGGACATGCTTGGCCGATGAGTTGCAGCCCATCAACCTCCTCCTACATGTCTACCGGAACTTCGGAGAGCATTGCTTTTTGAGTGGTGTAATATCCCCCAAGATCAGATCGATAATTTGATACTCAGCATGCTTAGGCGTTGTACGGACTCTATTGCATCGTCTGGAAGACGTACAATGTATTAACAATCATACCAACCATGTAACATATAGCATCTTTTTTTCGCTCCTTACCTTTTGTTTAATAAAAAAAGCTTTACAAATAAGTCAAATTTGTTTTGCTTCTAACTCTTCCTTTGCCTGATTTTGCATTATCCTTAATTAATGAACATGAGTGTATATACTTTAAGTAAAAAATTTGATAATTTATCTTGATAAATCATAACACTATTATTAAATTTTCAAATACCGAAATGCCTATTTATGCCTCCCGTCAACTGAACTACACTCAAGTGCATGAGATAGGTGAATTTGCACATTATGTTGAATTTCCAAAAAAAAATAATGCATAGATTTTTAATAAAATTTGGTATGAATACACATTTGGTACAGAGAAAGAGATGTACTATTCAAACATCAGTGAAGCTCATAATGCAGGGATGTCCTAAATCCACATTTTGATATCAAACTGAAAATCAGTCTTAATATGGGGTACCCCTTTCACAGCCAGATGGGTCGTGCAATGTAATGGCATACTGGAGAGGAGGCAGTTGAAGAGTCCTGGTTGTTTCTCAGAGGTGGATGGAGAGATGAAGTTTCCTTCCCAAGAGCATCCCAGATATACTTAGGATCAGATCTTGCTGGCAAATATCCTTGCTTTGCTGTCTCTGTTTTCAAGGAGCCGTTGTCAAACACAAACAGGGTTGGTCACCCAACATAATGCATGCTAACCCATTAAACCTACATCACTGTAATGATCCTTTTCCCTGATGAGGGAGTGATGGTATCAATATTCCAAGCTCTCTCTAAGATACACTTACACCAAGAATCAGTATCATTCCAGGCTGAATCTCGACTCGTATGTAAAAAGCATGGTATTTCATTGAAGTCTGGTCCAAGTTGTGCATGTTCTCTGCACCATGCTAAACATGCTGTCTTCTTTTCTGCTGGGAAGCAAATAACTGGTCTTCAGGCATACAGCCCTATCTCAAGCCACTTTAGAACATAAAACTCTGGTTCTAATGCCAGTATACATACATCTTGCGTTTGAAGCTATAGCAGTATATTTGGTGCCAAATAATCCTGATTTGTTTACAATTTTATTAATCTTGTCCAGGTCTACTCAGTAAGAATCCAGTTCATGAAAAAATTTCTATGAACTGCAGATGACACTGAGTGTTACATTGAGCACTAGCCACCTGCCCTTATTACTGGCCTGTCTCCAACCTGCTGATATCTCATTTTGTCTATACATTTGCAGCTACTCATTTTACCCAATACCTTATAAAATTTACCCAAGTCTTACTAGAAATGCATCGAATATTGTGAAGGAGCGCACAAATTTCATTAAACCCCTTGTGTTCTTATCACAATCAAAGCTCTGCAGACATGCACATGTAGTGTTGCATAATTTTGGGGGGGGCATAGTTAATACCTTTGGGTCAGTACTTTTTTATAAAAATTGACATAATTAGTAAATTCTGTTAATTTTGCTGACAGGTGTATATGTGTAATGAAACAATCTAGCATTACAATAGGGCATACTTGGATGTAATGAGTATTTTTTTAACACACATGCATCTATTATCTCTTCCTCTGTCATGGTTGCTTCGTCTGCGTTTTTTCTCTCAAAACAAGAGTTCTGTCAGATGGCAGAAAAATCCTGTATGCATGTAATGAACGATTGTGTTAAATGTTAATCCATAATGAACAACAACTTGGCAGCTGAGGCAGATAAAATATTCATCTTTATTTTAAAAAACATATGCCTAAGAACAACCTGGCATGCTACTTGTGCCCCATTTCTAATAGCTTTGCTGCAAGAAGTGACACACAAACAGTAGGCCAAAGTGCAGTTGTGTTGAGGATGAAATCTTAGTTTTCTTGTTCTTGATGCATTTAATTGAATAATTAATAATACTGCTGTAAAATTATTTGGCTGTTAAACGTTTTTGTTCCATTTACATCATCAGTATTGTGTAAGAGTCATATGGCATGATCAGGAAATGATGCAGTGCATTTTTAGAATATAGTGGGGGAATACCAAATTAAGCATTAAGGGGTTATTCCTAATTTAAACTATTATTTCATATATATGTGGCCATTTGCTTTTACAACTCATCCGCCTTTTCCTAAATCTGGCAACGGCTACAGCAGCAAGATACTTCTTCAAGCTGCGTGAGAAAATGAAAAGAGACTTCCATTCCGATGAGGTTATGACGTGGTGATGGATGTAACTGAACTATGCCGCTCGACGATGTTGCTTGATGATGTAATTCCGTTTCATGATGAATAGAACTTTTTATCTTACTTCCTTTCACTCTGTACATATCATAATCATGTGTATTCTTTCATCATTAAATACCTTTAAAATGCCACTGCCTTCCTCTATTTTAATCGTAACCTCATCCCACAAGAAAATTCAACAATTGTGTTGAATGTTAATCCATAATGAACAACAACTTGGCAGCTGAGGCAGATAAAATATTCATCTTTATTTTAAACATATGCCTAAAAACAACCTGCCACGCTACTTGTGCCCCATTTCTAATAGCTTTGCAGCAAAAAGTGACACACAAACAGTAGTCCAACTAGGCCAAAGTGCAGTTGTGTTGAGGATGAAATCTTCAGATTAGTTTTCTTGTTCTTGATGCATTTAATTGAATAATTAATAATACTGCTGTAAAATTTTTTGGCTGTTAAACGTTTTTGTTCCATTTACATCATCAGTATTGTGTAAGAGTCATATGGCATGATCAGGAAATGATGCAGTGCATTTTTAGAATATAGTGGGGGGAAATACCAAATTAAGCATTAAGGGGTTATTCCTAATTTAAACTATTATTTCATATATATATATATACACACATCTCGCCAGCTGAAGCCCCATTCACATGCAACACTCTTTCGTGCAGCCACCGTTTGTATTATGGGGACATGAAGCAGTTCTGCCTTAACGGCTGGTTCAGAAACACATCGTCTTCCATCCCGTAACCTGTAAGCCACTGTGAGCAATGAATGATATCAGATTCGCGGATTTCTAACGTTTGCTCACATCCTTTTTTGGCATTGTTTACTATTGGTATCGGAATTTAACTAAAATGCACCTAAATTAATTTTAATTGCAATTTATATACGAGACCAAATGGTTAAAAGAAGAAAAGAAATCACGTGTATTGCTGAACGATTTTAAATAAAATGTTTTCTGGCAGTTAAAACTTCAAACTTTGCTTTTTTAAAAAATTAATAAAATGGCAAATTAATATTATTTACATTAATTATAAATGTTAATGCTTGTTTGCCATGTGAATGAGACACATTGGAAGAACCGGTTTTCGCTACTGCTCGAATCTGCTCTTGTGAAAGGGGCTTAAGAGGAGAATCAAAGTGAAAGGGCCATTTTAGAACTTTTAATACCGGGTATTTGGTTGGTTAGAGAGTTTTGTCCTTTTCTATTTGCATTCCTTTGGAAAGATGTGTATTGAAGATTGATCTGATTTTATGGAGGGCAAGAGATTATAGTGTCTGAAAAAAACATTTTTAAGACTTGTAATAATAACACAGAATAATGAATTGTGTAATATGAAAAGTAGTAACTAAAAAAAAACTGCAGAAGCAGATGTAATTATATTAAAGACAAATGATTTAATGCCAGATTAGAAGAAAATGAGTTTCAAGAAAATTTATAAAATTGTTTAATAAATTTGCATATCTTTTAAAAAATGCAGTACAGTGATATCTATTTTAAATAAATCACAACACACAAAAAGTGTACTTCACAAACTGTTTTCCAGATCATCCATCATACACATGCAAATAAGATACATTTACTGTGACATAGTACTTCAGCTAAGACAGCAAAATATGAAAATTTTCTAGAATTAAAATATATTTTCTATAAAATGCCATGATGAGAGATTTAGCACTCAACTTAACATACAACTCAAAATCTATCATAATTAATGTTATTTAAAATATTCATATATATATATATATTATGCATATAATTACATAAGCTGTGAAACAAAAAAATTAATACATTTTTATGCTAACAGTTGAATCGTTTTACAGTAACATACTTTTTTTCATTGAATATTTTGAAACTTCAGTACTTGGGAGTACAAGGCATATAGTACTAATAAATTAACGCATTTTATGCATCTGCTTTTAATAACACAAAACGAAGCATATTTATATATCATAGAACTGTGGACAAAATAATTACCCAAATACTAAACTTTTTAATTGCGTGTAAGTGTGCACCAATTTACCACTAATTTGAAATATTCAGGAATGACAATTATTAATTTTTAAAACTGTTAATAAATGCAAATCTGATGCTTGTTAAACTTGGAAAAAAAATTTATAAAATAAGCAGAATATAAACAAATTTTATTTAATAAAGAAATCTTTCAGTTTATTATTTACCAAATGTTAATTCGAGACAGTTTTGTTCATAGTAGTAGGGAATTTGTACTTCAAAAAAGCATCTTTATGTAAAGTAGCTAATTTGTTACTGCTGGTATAATCTTGGAGCATTCTAATTAATAAATGGCATGTTTTAAAAGAAACCAATTAGATTTAGTAAGCTTTTCGATATTAATTGGCATAGTGAGTGTCCCTCTTTTAATGCAATTAAATTATCTGAGTATTCATCTTTTCAATGCAGTGTATTAAGTAAGTTGGCATTTGCATAGAATATTTTACTGTCAGTGGCCATATATTAGCTCTTGAATAACTTCCATACTTTTTGAAAGACTGTTATTACAAATACAAAATGTATACATTTGAGGAAATCACCCCATTTTTAGTACATAATTTTATTTTCAAATAAATATTGTTACTCATAAACAAAATTATACATTTATCAATTGCTCATTTTTTAAAGTTGTATAAAAAATTTAAAAACAAGCAATGGAAAACTAAATTATGCACAAATGAATCTGAAATAAAAGTGTTAAAATAAATGATAAATGTTTTTGTATCTAAGTGGATTGCCAGAACAAATTTTATCATAGCATGTACAGAATGTGTGGGCAAACTATAGGCTACATATTTTATTCCTGGCTATTGAATGGGCTGCCTGCATGGATATTGTAAATAAAATAATGCATGGATATTTTCACAACTAAAATTAGGCAAAGCGACAGATTTTTTGGCACACAAAACTTTTGGCCTCACTTGGCAAAAGGGTGTTGAAACTGACTTAATTCATTATACTACTACTAAGTTTCAAATATAAACAAATGGCAGAAGCGTTATGCTTAGTTGAACTTCACAACTTTTAATGGTCGATTGCAATCAAAAAGGGAAGTGCAAAACTACATGTTATAGCACTACCATATACAAAATTTCAGCATTCTGAGGCTACTTGATTTGAGCTATGCAAGATAATATATACGTATGTACGGACATCACGAAAGAAATCTCTTCTAAATTTATTTTAAATCTATTTCACAATCTGTTTTGGAAATCTGTTTGTTGTCCTTTATTTTGTCCGTAAGTATACATGTAACACAAAAACATAGTTCGAGTGGAATAGAAAGCAGTCAAAATGGATATTTTCACTGAAATATAATACCTGAAGTTTTCAACAATTACAACACTCCCTTTACTTAAAGAAAGCATATTTGCCTGCCCCAGTAATTTGTGAACATTACTTTTAATCTGTGAATGTGATTAGATTTAAACGTAAGAGCCCTGGGATTTCATGATTTCCTGAGGCATTTTTATCCTAAAATAATTGCCTAATGGCATAAGTGTTTTAACTCTTTCATCAAAAAGTTAATTCAATATACAAGCCTTGCCCTGTACTTATCCTTTTATTTCTGACAATAACAAATAAGTAAGTTCATGCATTCCTAAGAAATGATAAAAATAATAAATAAAATTTAATTCTCAGCTACAAAGTCTGAGAAGGAAGGAACTTTGTATAACCTGAAAAAAAAAAAAAAAAAAAAAAAAAAAAAAAAAAAAAAAAAGGTTGATGGAACTACAAGAGAACAATGGATGGAACTTTCAGTGAGTATGCCACAGACATGTACTGAATGACATGAACCAACCGAGCTTCCCATCTTATTGAAACTACATCCACTTTTATTGATTTAATCTACAGCACTTCAGATAATGTATTAGTGCCAATGTTTGTTATTTTAAGCATTTATAACCAAGATATACACTACCAGTAAAAGGTTAATATTTATTGTTATTAATATTCCTGCTATTAGCATTCTGTTCCTCTTGCAGGGTTTAATAAATTTCAATACATATACAGCACATAATTGCTTTTCTATTACTGTTTATAGAATTGAAAATTTAGGCTAATCTACATATTGTACACATTCACCTAAATTAACAGCTTCTTTAAAATACATATCTGTACCATATTAATTAATGAAATGATTACTCATAAATAAGCAAAATGCTTTAGTTATTGGACTTGGGGGGAGGGGGCAAAGTGATCTAGATAGCAGGATTAATAAGTAAACTAAACTTGTACATGACAAGGAGTAAAAAAAGCTGATGTGTACACCACATGACTTCCTTGCACAGAATATTAAATTATGTGCCTTTTTCTGCATTTCATTAAAACTTATTTCCTTGAATTTTATTAGAGATAGATTTCTCATTCAATTAATTCAGTTCTCACTTCACGGCAAAACAAAAATATGTAAAAACTCAATATATTTTCATTAAAAATTGAAAGATATAGATAAACATAAAACACCAAATACAGTTAAAACAATTTTTACAATTAAAATTACAGTTTCCAAGCAAAAACAAACAATTCGGCCAGCAGCCAAGAAGGCAGATTTTTCGGTGCACAAAACTAAAAAGTTTCCTTTTGGTCCCACTCATCAAAAAGACACTAAAGGTGCAGAAAGAATTAATTCACTATTCTGTTAAATTTCAAATGTAAATCTATATGGTTGATATGGTTAAAAAAAATTAGGCTAGCCACTTTTAAATTGTTGATAATTCTACAAATATTGCATGTGGATTAACCGGAAGATATGAACATGATTAAATCATTTTTAAAGAAAAAAATGCACAATTTACCAACATTATAAGAATAAAAAATTGAGCTCACAGAGCCAAGTAACAGAGGGGGTATATATATTTATATACTTTTGGTGTAGCCATTTGCAACCAAAATGCAAGGTGCACTACATGTTACAGCTGTCCTACATACAAAATTTCAACGTTCTGAGGCTACTCGTTTTTGAGTTATGCGAGTTACATACGTAACGACAGATGCCATGAAAAAGAGTCTCTTCTCAATTCATTTTAAATGAGTTTTGTAATTTAATTTGGGAAAAAGAGTCTTACTCTATCCTTATGGACAAATATCATGCAAAAATATCGTTAAATTGCATTCAATAGCGGTCAAAATGGATATTTTTGTTAAAATGTGGTACCAGGAATTTTTTGTGATTACAATACTTCATACAAGGAAGTAAAAAGCCTCATCTGGCTCTTAATTGCCTTGTACAAGATTTTTAACACAAGAATATCTCATAAAAATGCTGTATGTCCAAAATAAAAGATTAAATGCTGCTGTTGCTCTTTCTCCAAAACAAACTTTTCCCAATATTATTTTCATCAATTTATGAATGCAATTAAAATTTAATTGTTTTTCAGGGTTGACTTTTCCCTTCCCTTATTAAGTAGAACTCTAATCATCCGGATTAATTGGGACTATAACCAATTGAAATAAATTAGCTAAATACATATTTACTACATTGAGCGTTTTTTAAGTAAGGGCCGTTTTGTTGTATACACTAATAGGTAGCGCACACCACAACATGTGCTTGCATCATGTCCCACCATTCCTTGGAAACGACTGTACTCAGTTTGCAGTGTGTAGGTAACCTGTGCGGTCAATTTTCTGTAAAATGTTCAAGATTATCGAATGGCCCGCCCCATGCAAGGTTTGGTCAGTGATACATTTTTTTGTCGGCAAGAAACCTGTCTGCTGCAGGAATTCACTGGCAGATTTGTAAAGCTTACAGAGCAGTTTTACAAAGAGAGCTTGGTCGCCCATCTGTGATCACGGACGATATGGTAGCTTCAACTGAAGTCAAAATTCTTGAGAACATATGCTTCGCCATAAGTACTCTTTCAAATGAATTTTCTGAAGTGTCTAGGTCAGTGCTGTACAAAATTGTTTCTGAATAGTTAAGGTTTAAGAAACTGTGCTCCTGTTGGGTCCCGAAACTCCTAACAGAGGACCACAAAAACAAAAGATTTGAGTGTTCACTGAATTTTTTTACTTGTTATAATGAAGCAGGTGATGCCATATTGAGTTGGATAATAGTGGGAGACAAAACACAGGTTTCACATGTCACGCCCGAATGGAAGCAACAGAGCATGGAGTGGAGACATATACACTCTCCTGTAAGGGTCAAGGCCAAACAGACTCTGTCCCAGCATAAGATCATGGCATCCATGTTTTGGGATAGGCATGGTGTTTTGTTGGTCGACTTCATGCAATGTGGAATTACCATAAATGCAAAACCCTACGAATGCCAAACCCTATGAAAGCTATGCTGAGCGATTTAAAACAAAAGATGCGGCATGCTGACAGAGGGAATTTTGCTCTTCATGACAATGCAAGGCTTCACACCACAGCTCAGACCCGAGCTTTATTACACTTTTTCGGAAGTTTTGGACCCCTCCTACAAATCAGACTTTACACTGAGTGACTTTCATCTTTTCCACTATGGCAACCACTACAACGATGACGAAAACGTGAAAACGGCCGTGACCTCTTTGTTATCGCAGCAGGCAACAAGTTTCTATGATGAGGGTATTCAAAATCTAGTTCTAATATATGATAAGTATTTAAACAAACTTGTCAACTATTTTGAAAAATAGAGAAACATATGTAAAATCTGAAAACAAATTTGGCGTTTGAAAATTTTCTTTTATTTGTTTTTTATTTTTAAACAGCCCTTACTTAAAAAAATACCCCTCATATAATGCAAGAAAATTTTGTATTTTATTTGCTCATTTAACATACTTCAAAAAACACTACAGTTTAAAATTAATACAATTTTTCCATAGTAAATATTTTTCAGCTGTCTAAACAAATAATCCATTTTTAATTCAAGCAAAAAATATTAATTTTATTCTACAAAATGCATAGTTTTGATATTTTTACTACACAAAAATTAATTTTTTATTTGCATTAAATAAAATACATTAACCTACTCAGCAAAATGAAATTAAGATGAATGAAGGCCATACTAGTTTCGTTTCCTTCTGATAAAATGACATTTGTTACAATAAGCAATGACTTAAAGAATGGTAGGCATGTAATATGGTACTTAGCCACTTTTCTATAGATGTTTGCAAGTTGTGTAATTCCCAAATGATAGGAGTAACACGTTATTATATTAAAGTGAATAAATATATATATTTATTTCATCCTTCTCTATTATTTAAAGCAATAAATTTAAAAACATATTAACAGAAAGCTTAAATTTGAATGGCCTCAAAAGAAAAAGTGATGCTGATATCAAGATTTTACTTTAACTGTCTGAAAATAAAGTAAAATCACTGATGAACTTTTATAGATTGCTGATACTTTCAAGTACACTGAAAATTATTCCTTTTTTCAAGAAGTGTACAAACTATGACATGCAACAGATCAAATGAATCTAAATAATATTTAAAATTTAAGCACTAAAAATAAATCATTTATGTTCTACAACATGTTTTTTAATTATATCCAACTTATTTAAAAAAAATGAAACTGCCACCATAAATTTTAATATTAATTCTTGAATGCAAAATTTCTGTTCGATTCCTGAATCTTGGCTGGTCCTCTAGAACAGTTATGTTGTTGATGCCTGTACATTGTACCACTCTGCCTAAACCTTTTACCACAAAATGGGCATATGTAAGGTCGTTCTCCTGTGTGAATGCGCATATGAATCTTTAAAATGCTACGTGAGACAGCAACATATTTACAACTTGGACACTGGTGTTTCTTAATATTAAATCCTGAATAGCAAGTGGGCAAATTATTTTGAACAAAATATTGTGTTGAAATTTGAAATCCTGCAAAAGAAACAAAGACAAATTCAATTTTTCTTATCCATAAGTAAATTTTTCTTATCCATAAATCTCCTGCTATAATTATTTTCAGTTTATTTATTAAAAACTTATTTATTTTATTATAGTTTATTTATTTAGAACTTAGCATATTCAAAATTTCCACAGACTTGTAAAAACAATTATGCAAGATTTAAGAATATTTTCTTTAGTTTAACTGTTTGAATAACTGATCCTCTAAAAAAATACCTGATTATGCCAGAAGTATTCATTAACCCTTTGCGACACAGTGTGTCCGGTCTGGACACACCTAAAAATTTCCTTCTATACACACAGAAAAATTGAATGAAAAAGGATTTATAGGTTACTCTGAACCTTCTTTACTTATAGTAGATGGCAGCTCAACACAAACCAGTCCATATATTTTAGCCATGTTTAGTTTTTTAAGACCCTCATTTTTCAAAGAAATCCTTCAGATTTTTTTAGGGTATAAAAGGAATTGTTTGAAAAGAAATTTCTATGTTATTTGTTTGGCTCTATGCTAATCTCCTTAGTTTTAAATTTTACCTAGAAATTTTGCCTAAAATCAAATGGCGAACCCTAGGTGTGCCCAGACCGGGCTCATTGAGGACAACTGAGAGTCTGTATTCTTTGTTCCTCTGCATCTCATCGGTCAGTTCATTGACAACAATGCTCGTTTCAGCACTCTTTTCAAAGCTCTATTCAATCAGTGTGCCACTCTGGGCACACCCAGAGAATGAAAACGATAAGTGCTATCTATCTTCACAAAATTTTACTTGTGTACTCCTCTAGGCCTAATTAGACTGCCTTCTTCTTCTTCTTTTTTTTTTTTTTTTTTAAATCAAAACTCTGACTTTAAAAGGTAGTGTGCCGGAAAGGGTTAAGTGCTGAAGTCTTTAATTTCAGTTCTTCTTGAGTAATCAAATTTTAGAGTATAATTTATTAACAATAAACTCATTAAGTAAGAAATCCCGTTTCTGTATTTACATAAATACATAAGCTATAAAAATATATATACAAAACAAGATACTGATTATACAATACACCACTCATGCATACACATGCATGCTTATTCAGACAAAGTATTTAATAAAAACTACACAATAAAAAAAGAAATGCATCATGCATCATACAACTTTCACACACACACACACACACAAAAAAAAAAAAAAAAAAAAAAAAAAAAACTAATAGTAGAAACAATTTTCTGAAGTAGCAAAATTTTGCATAATATTATTGATAAAACTACATTAAAATTTCTAGTATTCAGCAAATTATTTCATCTGTGTAGGTAAAAATATACAAGGTTGCATAACCTACGACAGAAGTATTCTGCTAGAAAAGCACAAGCTCATGTGTTTTGTACTATTTTAATGGAAGAGATATGCCTAACATTCTTAAAACAATACATCAAAGAGCAAAAATTGTTAAATCACATTTCATTTTATAAGAGGCACTGCTGCAACAGATTTTAAAATATTTGTGAAAAACATGGCAATATTTGCACTCTGAAATGGGCAGTGGTAATAATCTTCATACTTCTTTAAAAGAAAAAACAAAAAGTATGATGGTATAAACCAACCATCAATAGAAATTATTTTATGAGTGTGCATATTTTCAATTATTATCTAATTTCTAGTCAACATTCCTTATAATAATTAAATGCTCTGTTTTGTACTTTGGAATCATGAAAGAAGAAACTTGTAGTGCTCTTTCTATAAAGAGCAATAAATTATAATTCGAAAATGTGAGAACAATGTAGAGAAAACTTCCACTATTTTAGAATTTTCCATTAGTAATATATGTGTTCAATTTAAGCATAACTAATTAATAATCATTTAGTCCTGAATTTCAAAAACAATAAAATGCAATTTAATCAAAACAGTGAAATGAACTACGACTGAATCAGTGACCCCCCCAAAAAAAATCATTTATACATATTTAAAGAATTTTGTTTTCATTATTAAAAAAATACATATTGTATAACATAAACACGTAAGCTAAAATAATCTTATTTAATTTGAAAACTGATAGCATATATTTACTTATTTATTAACTTTATGCTGCATCTTGCATTTTTCTAATTTGTTTGTTACTTTCTATTGATTGAATTAAATAAACTGGTCTTCAAAGATCACTGGTTGAAGACATAAATAATTTCTTCATCTTATGCAAGTTTTCATTTCATCACTGAAGAAGCTTTCAGTACAAAAGGAATTTTATTCCGGCACAAGACCCAGCCATAACAAATGAGGAGCAAACTCTTTTTTTTTTTTTTTTTTTTTTTTTTTTTTAATATTTACATCAGATCCCAAGATAATTATGTTATTTCTCTACACTATTCCTTTATACCTTCATATGTAACGAAGAGCACATTTGTTCTATAAAATGTAGAATTTACAAATAAAATCAGCTTAGCGAGATTAAAAGTTCAATATAACAAGATACAATGATGAAATTGTTGCATAGTAAGACTACAAAATATATAAATTCCACAGTATTAAACTAGTATTCAATGAAGAAATTTAACCAAGTTAAGAAAATTCATATTTTATTCTTCACACAATTTCTTTACCAGCTGCCAAAGAGGTGTTCAAAATTAAAATAAATGCTCTCAGAAATTCAGATGCAATAAAAATTAATTGAATAATTTCTGATCCACAATACTGGACGGAACAGCAAAGTTAAGACAAATATTTTGTACTAGACTGAAAATATCAACAATTAACAGATAACTCATCTTGAAAAATATTTCCTGCCTAATGCAATACTTATGTTATTAATAATAAAATATCAATAAGCCTACTATTAAATAAATTATTCAAAAAAAATATTTACAAAATAACATAGCTGACAGAACTAAATAATATGACATTTCTGAGAGCTGAAGAGACCCTCAAAGTATTTCTAAAACAACATATTCAGCACAGTGTTGTTAAAAACAAATATTGCACATTTTTGCAAGAATTCTTGAAACAAAGGTAAAAGTTATTTTTACTTTTTTAAAAATATAAAGGGAAAAAAACTTAGTTTGTCCCCTTCTTTTCTGGGTACACTAAAATATATATATTACATTAAGCAAGATCTTGCAAATATTTTAGTGGATACACTAAAATATATATATTACATTCAGCAAGACCTTAAGATTATCTTGCATTAAGCAAGATACTCACAAACCTAACAAATAAAAAACTTTGGAGGTACAAATACAAAAATTCATTTGTACTTAAAATTATTTAAAAAATTACATGAATTTTTCTATAGCACTAAAAGTTTTTAATCCATAAGATATAAATCTAAAAAAAAAAAACTGTCTAATTTACACTCTACATCTGAATTTTTATTTTTAAAATTATTTTACTTATTTATTCTTAACTGTTTTCATAATTTGACCTTTTAGGGTGAAAGACTATTAATTATTAATACAAATTAATTAAATAATTTTTGAAAAGAACAAGAAACTTGACAGAAGTCATATGGTACATGAAATATTATTTCATACCTACCACATAAGGTTTATTTAAACCACATGGTCTGTTAAACTTTTTTCCAAAAATGAGAAGAAAAGTTATCATCACATACTGAAAGTATTTACAAATGACTTTTCCACAACTTTTTCAATACACAAATCATCAGCACTATAATCAAACAGTGATTATATTTCTTTATGAATCAAATGTATAAAATTTTCACCGCTACTACATGACAGAGGTTCATACTAAACCTAAATACTACTATGTAGTACTACTATACTCCTTTTTTCTTACATAAAAAGCTACTGCATATGGCACTCTTGACTTTTGAGTTAACAACAATAGTATATATTTTATGGTAGTATGCAAAGTAAATTTGTACTGTTTCGTGCTTTGGATGAGGCACTATGAAACATTAAGCGTATGGAACTGGATGCTAGATCATCTCTAAAAGGAAAGTTTTTTGTGATATACAGAAGGAACTAATAAAATAGTAAAGAAGTCAATGTATAATATGGCACATAAAAAAATGTTAAAATGAACAAAATAAATAACATGATATTAAGTTCTAAAACAAAACAAAATAAAATAACACAAAATAAATTAATAATGGATCAGATCAAACACAAAGCAAAAGTCTTAATTTTACATGCAACGTGGCACTTAATACTAAACCTGTCACAAAAAATTATGTCCACTGGTAATTCACAAATGATGTATGAAATTATGACAAACCAAATCATTAAACAGGTTTTCATAGTGAAATAACACCATTCTGAAAAGCAGTATACTTTTTGGCAACCAGCTGAAAATAGTTGGAATGCTTTGAAAACTGAGATTCAATTCTGCGACTAATTTTAGTTAATCTGACAAATGGAAATAGTAAAGTTTCCATTAATAATACTTTTATACAAGCAATGAAGAAAAATGCATAACATATAAACCCTATTACTGGTTAAATGATGATATCCTCAGGAATTATGAAATAATTTTAATGAATCAGCTTATATGAAACGCTTCAATCCTTCAGATATAACAGTAAAATACCAGTTATCCAAACCAGTTTTGAAAAGCAAATGTATGCATAATTGGACAGATAATGTAAAATTTAGTGTAAAACAACACTAGGCAATCTCTTTAACCACTCAAGAAAAATAATGACTTTTGCCAAGTTCAGCTCCTTTAAATTACACAACACATTTTTAACAATAACCGCAGCATAAATAATTATACTTTTTAATTATTAATGAAAGATCCTAGCTTTTCTTTCAAAAAAGGTTTTATTACATAAGGCCATATTGCTCAATCTTTTTTGACATGCAGGTCAAAGTGGACCAGTTCTTTCTACTTTGCTGTTACCCTATAAACAGACTATACTATCTAATAATCATTTAAAATGTGATATCCAGGATCATTTAAAACAACATTCAAGCACTAATTCAGAAGTCAAACAACAAAAATCAGCGTTATATTTACAAAATTTTCACAGAACTAGTTTCGATGGTTTTACCGAACCACCATCTTCAGCTGCAAAACCGCCAATGAATTATTTCCTATCTGGTTCATTTGCGTATTTATTCAGCGTGTTATTGTGTCTTAATTATTCAAGCACTAATTACAGTGATAGACACTTTCCCCACAATCATCTGGGGGGAAAAAAAGGTGCATCTTCCTAAAGTACTATGAATCAACATTTTTACCTTTATATTGGAGTGCTCAGATAACTGGCATTTTACTGCATACATATACATGTACATCAGTTGAGATGTTCAGGATAATTTCATCAAATGTCACTGCATTGCAGCTGGACACTAACTGCTGATTGAGGTTTTTTTAAAAACATACTGAACAGAGTGAAAACTAAACTTTAAAGCACAATAAACCATTTTCCAGCTTTATTAGAAAAAAGTAGAAAGTTACCATTAAACCTGAAATTCAAGTTCTGCAAGGCTTGAAAAAATGCATTAAAATTTCTTTTAGTCAGACCTTCAGCCCCCCCCCCTCCCAAAAATGCTGATTTTACAGTGCACATATTATTTTTACCATATCAGTATTTTTCAATATCTCAAGTTTCAGTTTTTACGAGAGAAACCTTGTCATAACAAAAATAAACATTAAAAATCAAACTGAATGAAAGCAAATTTCTTTAAATTAAATTAAACTAATAATGAATTGAATGAATTATGTGGTTTTCTGATAAATCATCCTAACAAACAGAAAATTTTCAATAAATTATTGGATTTCAAGTAACCATTCGATATTAGCTTCCCTAACTGCAGTTGTAAAGTGGGAAAATGATTCATTTATTCTTCATATTTTGACTAGGGTTAGTTATAAATGACTAAAAAATTATCAAAATTAGAAATGCACCTTTGTGTTCCTATAATAAAATTAACTAATGCTTTAAAATGCTTATCAACTATAGGCTGACTAAAAGCATATTACAAATATAACATTAAAAAAATATTATTCAAATTTGATAAAAAGTTAATCTGGGACAAAAATACAATATTATTAGAAATGAACAGTGATTATATTAAAAAAGGCCACAAAACAGCAGCCAGAAAATAGCTACAATGCATTGGTTCACAATTTTTATAATAAAGATCTAGAAACATTTCTTTAATTACAGTTGGGTGCTTTTGCATTAAAACCATATTGTTTGGCACTATTTTTTTGTTTGGACATATTTTCCTGGTGTCAGAAATCTTTTCCTTGCAATAATTCTCTTCATATGCAATACTCACACAACCATATTATCTGTTTAAATAATCATTTTCCCACTCCAATGGATTTTGTGACTTGGTACTTAATAAGAGGACAAAAGAATATCCTCTTTCTCCAAGAAAGAGCTATTGTTAACTTAAAAAGGCCTATTAGCAGCCAAACTGTAAAACTGCTGAAACTGATAGTTCAACCTGGGTTTGACTCCAGGTGAACGGGTTGGCTGCATGGGTGTTTTTCATGGCTTTAATTTTGTGATGGATATCAGCCAGTTTCCCTTAAAAAGTTCTCCATGAAGACAACTCTCTTTTTATTCAAATGCTTTGCCATAATCAAGTAAACTAAACCTTCACTAGAAAAATATTGTGCTTGAATAACCACATCATAAAATTAAAATGTAACTAAAGCATGGCATGAATGATGGCTATGTAGCCTTTATTCATGCCAGGAAGGAAAAGATATCTGAACACAAACACATTTTATTGGATCATGCATTTCTTTCATTACTACCATATGATTTATTTACTTATGGTATCTTATTAAGAATAAACATTTATTAAGTTTTGAAAACCAGAGCTTGCTTCAAATGAATGACAACATGATTGACTGGAAATAATTCTATGAGGAAGGTATGTGCCAATTTTTAGTTATGTTAAAATCATCTCAATGTTAAAATCAATGAATACAATAAATATGTGAAAACTTGTTCACAGAAGAAAAATAATAAATAAATGTAGGCCAAATTCTCGGTCCACAATGGGTTTCTAAAGGATTTTGTCATGAAATTAGATAATGCTCTTTATTGCTCTTCCCACTAGCCCCTTTTGTTTAATATCAAGCTAAAAGCATGGAAAAGAAAGAAGCCAAAATGTGCCAATATGGCCCCAAAAATGCATGATATAGATTAATGGAAAAGTACCTGTAATTATCCTAGTACTTCCATCAACAGTTAAATTCTGAGTCACATACATTTGGTATGGCAATTTATACAGTACAAAGTCCAAAATCCGGACTTGTCGGGACTTCGGCGATTCTGGATTTGGGATTTTTCCGGATATTAGATCATCAATTTATATCTGGTAAGATGGCATGCAGAAATTATCCTTTAAAAAGATGAAATCATAATTTATGAAATAAAGAGCAATTATGATCTAAAGGATATCAAAATTTAAAAAAAAAAAGCTTAATATTTATTTGTTTATTTTATTAAACATTTCTTTCAATGTAAGTTGTTTAAGTTGCTTCATTTTTTGTGCTAATGCTTTCTCTTTAATACTACAAACAGACATAAATTTCTTGTTCAGTTACAAAGTTCCACTGTTCAAGTCCTGTAATTGCTGTGTTGAGAATACCAACTAACTTGTCAATCGAAAATTTTTCGTTTTCAATAACCTCTCTGTCACTTTCTGCACTATCAGTAGCAGTATTTTCTGGATCTAGAACCATACTACAGATTTCACCGTCCGTTAATTGATTGACGATTGGGGCATTGTCATCGCAATGAAAAACTTCTGTTATATCATCTTCATTTATTACCGCTTCTCCACATTTCTTTACAAAATCCATTAACTGAAAAATTTCACTTTTATTTGCGATATCTGAAAACCTTCAAATTCACGGCTATCATCTTCATCGTCCTCACCATGAAATATGGTAGCTGGCCATATATTATGCCAAACGCTTTTTAACGTATCTGGAGACACATTCTTCGACAATCTTGCAATGCTCCACACAGCAGATTTTATGCTAAAATATTTCAAAAATTCTTGTCTTGCCAATGTTCAAGAAATTTAAGAAGGCTTTTAAAACTGCTAATTTACATTTGCATTTCAGCAAGCACGCTATTCCAATATCCATAGACTGAAAGACAGATGCACAATTTTGGAGGGAAGAATAATACGGATACATTATCTTTCACTAAAACTTTAAGTGAAGTATGAGCTGAACAGTTTTCTATACAATCAAGACTATTTTTGAGCCATCTTTCAGGTCTAAAATGATTTTCAAACTAATCATTCATTAACGCTTGTTACTCCTTTAAATGCTCGAGGTCGTGCATGTTTTTCGATTACGAAAAGTTTGCATTATAAAAAACTTCTCATCCTTAATTTTGCCGCTTGGTGCTTCCCCAAATTCTGCCGATGCTTCTGGGTTTATGGTGAATAACATATCAGTTATCCGTCATTAAAATAGCACTAAATGTAATCTTTTAGCCTATGAGTTTCATTAACAAAATCTTTTTTTAGCATATGAAAAAAATTTTTTGTTCAGTTTTTCCTCGTCAAAATTTCTTAGAGCATTTAAAAATCTATAATCATCGCCAAGTGTAATGTTAGCATAAAAGTTGCCATACTCTTGTTATTCAATTACTAATACATAAAAAACAGTTTAGACATCACTGCATGAGTTATTACTGAAGCTGTCATGTATTGATAAACACGCGGTGACGAAAGCAAAATATAATAAATAATGACTCGCCAGGTATATAAAATAAGTAAATGTTTAGGTTTGAAATGTATGCTAAGCAGACACTCAGCTACGGAGCCAAATTATTAATCTCACAAATTGATGCTTACATGATTGTTTTTTCATAACAAGGTATTTTATTTAGTGCCTAAGTGAAATTAAGAATCGGAATTTTTAAGTGAAAATCTCCACGTTTTATTATAGAAGAAAAAATCAAATGTGCATGCGTTAAGCATACCTTCCCCCCCCCCCCGAAAAAAAAAAAAAAAAGAAATATTTGTGGCTTCGAGGTCCGGATTTTAGATCATTCCGGATAATGGACATCCGGATTTCAGACTTTATACTGTATAAAAAGAAACACTCTTTTCTCAGGAAAAACATCAAAATATAAACTTACTGGGTAAAAGATATACACAATGCATCTACAAAGTTTTAGAAATGAATTTTTACAATGAATTATCAATGAAATGCCAAGCTTTAAATAATTACTAATAAATCTCAATTTGCCTTCATTAAAATATTATCTGCTCTTGGAAAAAAATCTGAATGGAGTTTTCTTATTCATTTTATGCACATATTACCAGACTGTGACAGCACAACGCAAGGAAGTCTTTTTTCACAAAATGCATCTATTGTTAAGAAATTTACAATAAATTAAAAGAGTAACTTTTAATACCTTACCTGCCAGATTTGACATCTGTGAAATGCCTTCTGTTCCCCAAACTGAAATGCCACCTTAAAAAGCACCCCTTTTAAGCAATTTAAAAAATTCAGAAAACTGCAATGGCAGGATAATTTTCATACAGCTGACTTTTATGAAGAAATCCATAAGCTCCATGAAGGTGGAAAAACTGTACTACTTAAGAAGGAATATATATGAATTAAAATTAAATTGTTTTCATCAGATCTGAAATTTTTGTGAATTCAGTCTTAAAACTTTGTAAATGTCCTGGGTATTTATTTTGCCCTAAAATTTAAAAAAAAAAAAAAAAAAAAAAGAACTATTAACACAGATGAGATGTCTTAAGAATCAAGTTTGAAACCCTATTAAATTAACTGTATAAAATAATTCATCATTACATAAGATAATTAGTATGTTTATACAATTTTCAAAGGAATTTCCAATTGCACAAAAAACTTTTGCAAGACTGTATTTAAATAAAATAATGGAATATAAAAGAATTTGCATTAAAATACATATATTTTACACACACAGATACACATGCCAATACGTTATAAATTAATATGACAATTAAATGCATAGCATGACTGTTTCTTGTTGCATTTTATAATTACGCACAAAAAGACACAGCATGTCTTATTTTCAACATATTATCACTGCATATCTTCTAAAATGAAGATTAATATTTTACAGATTTAAATAAAATGGCAAATATATTTATATATATTTTAATGTAAAAATTATTACATTACACACATTGTTAACACTTCTAAATCAGAAATTATTTTGCCCTAATAAATAATGATAGCCCTCTAACTGAAAAAAAAAAAAAAAATGTTCTTTCTAAATATGCTCTAATTCTCTAACTTACTTCTTTAAAGTTCTGAAAGAATCAAATGCAATAGGATTACGATTGCAAAATTGCATTTATTACCAAGCAAGAATGTTTTAATTTACTTTAAAATAAATTATGCACATAAGATAATTTTGCTAATATATTTGTTGCGGTTTTAAAAATGTGTCTAACCTTTAAAAAAAAAATTGCTTGGCTGAACTTCATTTGAAATAATTTTTTTGATGTAACAAATTTTGTCTGAACACACATAAGGCATATTAAAATCAGTAAAAATATATATTTATCTTAGAAACTAAAAATATTTTATACTCAAGAAATATATAAATGAATAACATATCAAGAAATATGTAAATGCTAAAAATTAAATTTAGAAGGGAAGGGGTGAACATTCCAAAGCCAAGACTAGTAATGGACTGAATACACTACATATTCATCAAATTAAAAAGAAATGCATTGGGCAATACAATTAAAAATAAGGCCTGTAATATAATTATAAATTCATAATATCCTACACTACAAAATATGCACGAGACATTGATATTTCACACAAGCCCATGCATTTTCCTTCTCGTGTAACAATTAACGGTCAAAACATTTTTAGTCTGAATGAAAATGTAAGGCTAAATGCTGCTGCATTGTTATTTTATTTTCACATGATTTTCCACAGATGTTACAATCCAAAGGATACTTTTCAATGTGTTGCTGCTGATGTTTTTGCATATTTCCTTTCTGTGTGAAGCCCCTACCACATACAGGACATTTATATGGACGTTCTCCTGTGTGTGCATTTATATGGTTCTTTAGATTACTCCTTGTATGAGCTGCATATGGGCATAAATGACACTTATATGGTCTTTTAGGATCTTCTGCATCAATATCACTGAATCGATGAAAAAACCTCTTTTGAACTGAAACATGAGAAGGTAAACTATATAACATGTAAAAACTTTAAGAAACAAATTCAAAAGCACACATAAAATAAATTATTATGTAAACAATGTAATTTTATTAGCTAAAAATATGTAAAAAATTATGCAAGACAAAACTACTTACTAGTTTTAAAACATGAAATTTAAAGATTAAACATCCAATAGCATATATGTATGTATAAACATTAAGTATTAAAAAAATTAAAATATCCATAAACAACTAAAAATTTAAATACTGGTATAAAATGTTACCTCTACAGAAATAAAATACTCTAAACCTGGACCTAAATTCGACAATAATATATTATTAATATATTATATTAATATAATATTTAATTTTTAATTTAACTAACATTTATGATTAAAATTAATCGACATAAATTACTTTATTAAATTATTAGATACTTTTTTAAAGAAAATAAAACACACACTTCAGAATTATGCAGAAAGAAAAATCACACTCATATACGATTCATCTCTTTGGGTATATATCATATGTGTAATGAACAGAGCGAATAAAACTTTAAATGCAATTAAATAAGTTTTTGTTACCTATTTTTAGTTTTAAATCAAACAATGCTACGCACATTTTGCGGTTACTTAAACAGTATAAAGTTATATTAATAATAGTTATATATTTAAAATATATATATATTAATAAAACCTTTTGATATTATTAAAATATAAATAGATAACAATTTTTAATTCATAAATAAAAGTTTAAAAACATATTTTATATGTAATTCATAAATGAGCTAAAAAGTTTTATCTGGTACTCTATACATATTTTTTTTTTTTTTAAATCTCAACAAAAATGCAAAAAACACACCTTTTGAATAAATATAATTTAAAGTTCAGTTATTTATTAAAAAATGAGAGATTTATGAAAATAATGAAAACTGACAGTACATTATATTATATTTTGAAACCTTTTTTAAAAATATTCTCATTAAAATGCAAAAGCATTTTAAGCACACTTTTTGAATAAATATAAAATTCAGTTTATTTATTAAGAAATGGCAGATTTACTAAAATATATTCATAACAAAAATGAAAAGTAATAAACATAACAACATATCAAGTTAAAACTATTAGGCAGATGATCCATTTACATCAAGTGAAATCTGACAAGTTAATGATACAAACAGTAACGTTTACTGGTTGAATATGACGTATGTGTTTTTCAAAGTGAGCCTCCATATGGGCATTAAGGGGTAAACAGATATTAAGGGGTAAACAGGACATTTCAGTTTCAAATGAACAGCTATACTGCAAATACTACCAAAATATCAGATGTGGCATCCTCATACTTAAAAATCTAATTTTTTAAAATATCAAAACTTGTCCATCAACAAAAACTCTTTCTAAGCAGTAGAAATACATAAAAAAGTTTTTTTTTTTTAATGAAAAACCATAAATACCATCCAATTGATATCTACAAGTGCAATCACCAAGTTTAAATGCAATAAGTATAAAAATATTCATATATTAGAAAATGTTTTTATACGTTGAAACGTTTTACAGAAAAATGTTAATTTTGGTTATTTTATACAACTGTTAACAACAGCACCAAATTGCTTCCTTTTAGAAAAGAAGCATCTTAATTTTGCTAAAAAAAATACTATTTCCACAAAATATCACCACTACTATAGTACTGTATTATTATTTATGACCCCATGTACACACATTTTTATTACGAAGAAAGATACTTTCTGATTATACACATCTCCACAAAATTGCCAACTCATTGCCGACTATGAATCCATGGAAACAGTAACTTAGCTATCTTTAAGGCTTATAAATAAATGTTCTCTTTGTAAATAATAATAAAAAAAGCAATTTATAAGTAAAAAAAAATTAGTACGAATTAAGTCCTTATGACTGATATTTACATTTTTACAGCCAGTGGCTACTATTCAGAGAAACGATGATTAAATACAAAGCATGTAAATACACGTGTACGAACACATGTGGGATATGTACATGCAAAAGTTGTCTGTTGTCGCATACACATTAAAAAATATACCAAAAACACAGCAATTAAACTGCCATGCTGAAATCCATAGGGTAATCAGAAAGTACCTTAAGAAATAATAAACATGAAATAAACTAATTTTAATGCATAATTAATTTATTCATTAAATTACTGCACACAACAGTAGCAGACAACTTCTATATCCTTAACAGCCAATTCAAATGAGCAGTACAATATATTACATTTAGGAATAATAAACATCAGTTATTACAAGGTTCTTCTGATATTAATTTTAAATAACATTTGTAAAAAGGTAGTTTTAAGACATTGGAAGTATGAAAACATACACAAAGTACAGAATTTAGTCAATAATACTAAATTTTGTTACTTTACTGTAGGTCACAAGATGGCCATCACTGATACATAATGTTAATTAAATTATAAATGTAGCTATGCACACACAAAAGAGTAAGGGATATTAACAAAAATCAGTTTAAACAAGTGAAGTATTCCAAAAGTTTGAAAAACACTAAAGTGTATTTATTCCTAATGATGCAACTTCCTTCTCATTGCTATAAAATATGCTGTATAAAAAATATAACTTCTAGAACATTGTTATTGGTCAGTTCTTTCATATTTAATGAATATAAAACAGATGTTGACAGCAGTGGTAATGCATAATTAATATATTTTAAGCAGCAATATAAACTAAAAATTATGCTTTGTTTTTTGTTTTGTTGGGATGCACTTGGAAAATAAACAGTCATAAGGCAAATTAAATATTATAATTACTGATGCTCAAACATTAAAAAACAAATAATAATAGTTTTATAAAACTAGTAACTTACATTCCTACTTGACAGAATAAGTTAAATTTATTTACATATCTAGCCACACATTACAATTATGGATTTTAGAATTTATTTTTAAAAAACCATTCTTAAAAAAGGGAATTAAACTTTAATTACAAAATATGAGGTTCCTCTTATGAATATAATGACTTTAACCCCTTCGTGATGGGAAGCGCATATGCGCACTTATCGCAGTGGCCGGTAGTCTCTTTCATAAGTGTCTGTCCAGGACCGGAGGGTTTTTTGCTATTAAGCCTAAATCCATTAAATTACTAAAATATCAATGCATTGTTTAATAATGTTCTGTAGAGTATTTAAATGCCATATGCTTCATATTATATTTTTATAGATACTTTATTTACTTAAGTTATTTCTTGTTCAAATATACATTTTACACATTTTATTTTCATATTCGCAAAACTTTGTACAGTCAAAAGTCGTTAATTCGGACACCCATAATCCGGACCTCAAAGCTACAAACTTTCTGCGCATGTGTCGCTAAGCTAAAATTATCTAATTCAGTTATGTTGCAGATTGCATTGTTCCTTAATCTTCAAATTGGATTTGGCTTATTATTTTCTGCAGACTGTTAGAGCAATTTTATAAAAGTAAGCTTGAACTTTCGATTATGTCAAATAGAATTTCTGATATATATTTAAAAATATGTAAAGGATCTACAAAGCGAAAGTATGTTTCGAAGTCCTTTAAACAAAAAGTGGAATTGCTGCAAAAAATGGATAAAGGCATATCCTTTGTTTATCTAAACTTTAACGTTTGTTTATCTAAACTTTGTTTATCTTTAACGCAGCGGGTGCGCAATGAATTGGAAGTTGATCTGTCAGCACTATCCTTATCTTCAGGGCAGATGTTTTTATTTTATTTGGGTTATAAATCCTTATTAAATGTAGTATTTCATCTCGATGTACTCCGTCTTTGATATGATTAAATCAAATTCCTCGTCATTATAATTTGCTTCCGAGAGCGAAGAGTGACAGAGGTTATTGAAAACGAAAAAATTTCAATTGACAAATTAGTCGTATTCTCGACACAGCAATTTTAGGACTTGAACAGCGGAACTTGTAACTGAACAAGAAATTATGTCTGTTTATAGAATTAAAGAGAATGTATTATCACATAAAAAACGAAGCAACTTAAACAACTTACATTGAAAGAAATGTTTAATAAAGTAAACAAATAAATATTAAGCTTTTTTTTTGTGTAAATTTTGATACCCTTTAGATCATAATTATTCTTTATTTCATAAATTACGGTTTCATATTTTTAATTTTATAATTTCTGCATGCCATCTTAACAGATTTAAACTGATGATCTATAAACCGGAAAAATCGATAATCCGGAATGGCCGAAGTCCCGACGAGTTCAGATTAACGACTTTTGACTGTAATAATTTGAATAGTGCTTCTGAAAATTATTTCTCAAAGAGAGCAATTTTTTTATATATATATATTTTCATGTAAAGTAAAGGAAAAAGATATTTAAATGCTAATTTTAATATATATGATAGCTTATATAGCTGTCACAAAGCCCGCCATTCCGAAACATTCCTTTTCCCTTTATGTTTATATGATCAAAAACCACGTGTACCTAAATCATGCTACTCTCATTTTGAGTAGAAGGTCAAATCTACATGTATCTGAAACCATACGGACATGCAATGCAATCTTGAGCCAAAAGTTATAGTTTTTTAAGCTTTCCAAGACACTGGCACAAATGTGTGATGGTTGCGGGTGAACAAAAAAACACTGGCACACCAGCGTGTCAGCTGGGAAATGAGTGCGTTTCTTGCTGACACATATACGTACGTGACAGTCAGCATGAAAGAGTTAAGAAAACATTAACCTTTTAGTGAAGAACAAGATCACAAATTCTGATAATAGCAGTTTTAAGAAGAGAGTCATCTTGAAGAATACAGTTTGCCCTTGGGGGGGGATTAGTGATGAGGTAGGAACATAAACATATGAATAAGCAAATTTAAAACACCCTTGCTTTTAATCAAAAAAGTGGAACACTCCCATTTTAGAAATTATATATGACCAAATCTGATCATTGTTATCCGAAAGTAAAAACAAGTCCACTCATCAGTTCTT